TTGCTTCAGAAGGAGAAGAGAACATTGGCCAATTCCTTTACCTGGAAGGAATAGAGTATCCCATGTGGAACACCTATGATGTTCATTTTTATGCATCTTTTGCATTAGTTATGCTATTTCCAAAACTAGAACTCAGCATCCAAAGAGATTTTGCCACAGCTGTGATGATGCATGATCCTAGTAAAATGAAACTTTTAGAGGATGGACAATGGGTCCCAAGAAAAGTTCTTGGAGCTGTTCCTCATGATATTGGCATTGATAACCCATGGTTTGAAGTAAATGCCTATAGCCTTTACAATACAGATCGGTGGAAAGATTTAAATCCAAAATTTGTTCTCCAAGTGTACCGTGATGTGGTTGCCACAGGTGATAAAAAGTTTGCACAAGCTGTCTGGCCTTCAGTGTATGTTGCAATGGCTTACATGGACCAATTTGATAAGGATGGGGATGGGATGATTGAGAATGAAGGCTTCCCAGATCAGACATATGATACATGGTCTGTATCTGGTGTGAGTGCATACTGTGGTGGGCTATGGGTGGCGGCATTACAGGCTGCATCAGCCTTGGCACGTGAAGTTGGTGACAAGGGTTCTGAAGATTATTTTTGGTTCAAGTTTCAGAAGGCCAAACTTGTCTATGAAAAGTTATGGAATGGTTCTTACTTCAATTATGACAACAGCGGTGGTCCTTGCAGTTCATCTATTCTGGCTGATCAATTGGCTGGACACTGGTCTGTTACAATTTAGCTTTCCTGATATCTTCAAATATAGAACTTTAGCAACTTCTGGTGGAATTATAATATTGCTTCCTTGGTTCTTTGGATATCAAAAATAGTTAGAGGAGCAGCTCTGGCATCCACTTTTACTGAACACGTGACTTTTGAAAGTTCTATAATATTTGATAGTGGATCCTAATTTGCTTGCTATTGCAGGTATGCACGAGCATCTGGACTTTTACCAATTGTTGATGAAGACAAGGCCAAGAGTGCATTGGAGAAGGTTTATGCTTACAATGTCTTGAAGGTGAAGGATGGTAGACGGGGGGCTATAAATGGCATGCTACCTAATGGAAGAGTTGACATGACAACAATCCAGTCAAGAGAAATATGGTCAGGGGTCACCTATGCAGTTGCTGCAACAATGATTCAAGAAGGTATGACAGATACAGCATTCCGCACTGCAGCTGGAGTTTATGAAGCGGCATGGTCTGAAAATGGACTCGGGTGAGATACCTTTTCCTTTTTTCAGCAATCTTGACTTTTGAGGAAACAACTGCTATACCTAAGAGAGAATATTTCATATGCCCTTTTCCGTTCTTTCAAACTTTAAACAATAATTAGATTGTGTTTTTTGGACTGGGTTGTTTGTTTTGAGCTGACACACTCCACCCTTGATTCGCATTTAGAACCATGATTATCAGTGGAGACAAACTGTTAAAAGTTAGGACCTGATACAACATCCTTTTGAGAGAAATAGGGGCTAATATATACAATAGGAAGCATGGCACAGCAGATAGTTAATTCAATAGCTAATATCCACAGAAAATCCCTCATTTAAAAAGAAATTATCATTCATGATTATTATAAAACCTGCTTTTTAATGCCCAAATATGTTGAGCTAGAGTCATATACTTATTCCTAGTCAATTCTTTCATCAACTAATTCTTTTAAGACTGATGTAGCCCTCACGGTCAGTGTCCTATATTTTGTTTATAGTTGAGATTGATTCAGGTAAATGTTCTTGATAATGAGATAAAGAGAAATGACCCTAGTAAATAAATGAGAATGGGAAATTTTTGGCATGATCTGCTGCAAGTGATTCGTCTTGTATTACTTCATATGCTAATTTCCTGTTCCAATGGCACATTTTATTATGACTTGATGTCGCTATAACCTGCATTTTATTTACTGTCAGATTCATTTATAACATATCTTGGAAGCTTAAAGGCTGTTTTTAGTGAATCTACCAGTAAACATAACATAAATGTTGTAAGCCTGAGTTTCGACTCCAAGATGTTGGACAGAATGAACCTAAATGCTCATTCTGATTTTTATTTTTATTTGAAATATCACATCAATATATATTCATTATATGATGGTTTCTCTCAACTAGAAGACTATAACGCAAGTTAATGATTATCTGAAAATTTTCTCAAGTTGTAGTCGTAAAACTTTTTGTCTAACATCATTTTGTATATTGTTTAATAGTTACTCATTCCAAGTCCCGGAAGGGTGGAACAACAGTGATGAATATCGGTCTCTAGCTTATATGCGGCCTTTGGCGATATGGGCAATGCAATGGGGTTTATCAAGACCACAGCAAAAGCTAGAAAAGCAAGACCTGAAACCAGAAATAAAGGTAGATACTCTGCTGAAGCAACATGCTGGATTCTCCAAGGTTGCAAATCTTCTGAAGTTGCCAAAAGAAGAATCACCTAAAGGTGT